TTCAAGGAAACAAAGATAAAGAAAAGAATCGAAAATACAACATGGTCCTTCGAGCCGGATGCATATAGTTGTGCATCGTGTGAGCGAAATCTTCTGAATTCTCGAAAGAATATCATTACGAAGGAAATTCATCGGATATAATTCATCGATATGGATCTCAGCAAAGCAAAAAAGCTACGAGAAAGTCAAAAAAAATACGCAGAGAAAATCATTTTCAAGATAAACAAGGAATGYGAGGAATTCAATGGCTCTAAGGAGCAAAAAGAAAATCTACTTGGATTAAAGAAATCACTGGAAGAAAAAGCTTCGACTATCAACAAGTTGGATGAATCAATTCTGGAATCAGTAAGGGAAAAGAATTCGATTAAGAAATAGAAAGTTCAGGTGAATTTAGCGAAGCGGTATTCAAGAGTATCGCCAGAATCGAGACATGTCTACAAAACACAATTGGCTCCGACTCAACAACATCAACTCAAGGTCAAAATACGATTCAAAACACGAGAAAATCCACGCCAAAATTACCAAAATTAGCCTTGAAAACCTTTGATGGTGATCCAGCAGATTGGCAACCCTTCTGGGACTACAAACCTGTTATCTACTCATGTACTCAGAATAGATGTAAGTTCCTTAATCAAAAGTGACGCAGTATTGGAAACACCCCCTTGTCCACAGTTTTGGGACGTGGAAATGGTTGGTACGTGTATGTTAAAAGGAAGCAAACCAAATATCAAGGAACCTATCCAAGATATTGAATTCAAAGATGGAATCTATCAAGTGAAGTTACCGTTCATAGAGGGACACTCTATGATCCCTGACAATCACAGCACATCAGTTAAACGTCTACATTCATTGATTACACGACTTCGTAAGGAACCAGAAACTTTGAAACAATATGATGAAGTAATCAAGGATCAAATTGAGAAAGGAGTTGTGGAAAGAGTGACAGACACGAATGACGGAGAAAAAGTAGGGCACGTTCACTACCTACCTCATCGTGAAGTAATGCGATCAGATCGATCCACTACAAAACTTCGTGTTGTCTACGATGCTTCTAGCAAAGGACCCAAAAATGTTGGTCCAAGTCTCAATGACTGTCTTTATACTGGTCAAAGTCTTACACCACTATTATATGACATCCTTCTCAGATTTAGAACACATAGACTAGCAATCACTGCAGACATTGAAAAGGCCTTCCTGAACATCAGTATTTCTCCAGAACACAGAAACTTTCTCAGATTCTTGTGGGTGAATAACATAGAAGATGAAGATCCAGCAATTGAAGTTTTTCGTTTTACTCGTTTGGTGTTTGGACTTACATCAAGCCCTTACATCTTGAATGCTACTATACGTCATCATTTGGATCAGTATGCTCAACAGGATCCAGGATTTGTAAAGGAAGTTGTCAACTCTTTGTACGTTGATGATTATGCATCAGGAGCTGATGATCTCAAATCTGCATCTGAACTAGCCCTCAAGGTAAAACAGAGAATGCTGGAAGGAGGATTCAACATGAGGAATCTCACAAGTAATTCTACAGAACTGATTCAAGAGCTTAAGGACATTGAACTGTTTAGCAATAGTTTAAATCCTACAGACACTAACACTGAATGCCAAATGTTAGGACTGATTTGGAACACTGACAAGGATAAAATCGTTATGAAAGTCGATAAAGTGACTGAAGACTTATTGGATTCAACTCAGGTCACAAAAAGGATCATCTTGAGTACAGTTGCAAAATTCTATGATCCTTTAGGAATTGTATCACCTGTTGTTCTTTTACTGAAGATTCTATTCCAAGAGGTCTGTAAGAGACAATTCAATTGGGATGAACCACTTCCCRAGGATATGGTTARGAACTTTAAYTTGATTATTTCTGACTTGAACAAGWCACAAGCAGTTAAGCTCAGCAGATGTTRTRTAGATCCTACCATGTCAAAGAAGGAAATAATATCTGCACAGTTGCATGCATTTGGAGATGCATCAGAAAGAGCTTATGGATCTACTGTCTATCTACGAATCGAGTATCCTTATGGAGTTCATTGTAGTCTTATTGCCTCTAAAACAAGAGTTGCTCCTATGAATGAACAAACCATTCCACGATTAGAACTCCAAGCTAGTCTTGTAACAGCTCGATTAGCAGATCAGATTAAGAAATYATTGGAAAGTGTATTRCCTATTGATGWACTTGAGTTATGGTCAGACTCYGCGGTTGTATTACACTGGATAAAGAACGGAGCAAAGAAACAGAAACAGTATGTACAAAACAGAATCAAGGAGATTAGACAATTGACACGAGCTGAATGGTGGAGATATTGTCCAACACAAGATAATCCAGCAGACCTTGCCTCCAGAGGAACTTTAGTTTCACAGCTGATCAATAACGATAAGTGGTTTAAAGGACCACAATTCCTATCAGGAAAAATAGACCTGTGGCCGTCGCAAGATGTAATTGCCACTTCTAAGGAACAGGTAGAAGAAGAGAATGTTATGACCGAAACAGATGAATCTATTACCGTCAATCTCAGCATGGCGAAAGATCCAGAAGCGCAACCTAAGTTGTTTATACCCGTTGAGAAGTATAGTGACTTACAAAGAGCCCTAAGAATTACAGCTTATGTTACACGTTTTATCAATAACCTGCGAAGGAAGAAACTCAATCAACCAATAGTCAACGAAACTCTTAGTATCCAAGAAATGAACAATGCAGAAAAGTTATGGATAAGAATCATGCAGTACTTCATTAGACTCTCCTCTGAGAAATTTAGACAACTCCAAACCTCGTTAGACTTGTTCATGGACGACGAAAACATCGTTCGATGCAGAGGGAGACTAAAAAACGCGTCCATTCCATATGATACAAGATATCCAATCTTATTGCCAAGCGATCATTACTTGACGAAATTGATAATTCGGGATTGTCATCAGAACGTGAAACACAACGGAGTTAAGGAAACTTTGACAGAATTACGAAAGAAATTTTGGATCATAAAGGGCAGACAAGTTGTCAAGAAATATCTGTCTAAGTGTGTTACTTGTAAGAGAATACAAGGAACCCCATACTGAGCACCATTATCACCTCCGCTTCCAAGCTTCAGATTGTCTGACGATTTTGCATTTACGAGGATCGGAATCGGTTTTGCTGGGCCGGTATACGTTAAGGACATCTATGCAAGTGGACAATTGAATAAAGCGWACATAGCGTTATACACTTGTGCATCAAGTAGAGCTATTCATTTGGATTTGGTACCTGACTTAAGCGCAGAATCATTGATAAGAAGTCTCCAGAGATTCACCGGAAGACGTGGAACACCAGTATTCATTTTATCAGACAATGGCAAGACATTTAAGGACAGAAAACTCAAAAAGTTTGTGCGTGAAAAGAATATCGAATGGAAGTACAATGTCGAGAGAGCCCCATGGTGGGGAGGTTTCTTCGAGCGATTAGTACAATCAGTCRAGAGACCCTTGAGGAAACAATTTCATCGTGCAAAACTTAATTACGAAGAGTTCTCACGACGTTGATAGAAATCGAAGGAGTTCTGAATTCAAGACCCCTTACTTATGTTTATGACGAGATCGACGAAGTCTTAACACCATCACACCTGGTCATAGGAAGACGTCTTATGTCACAACCAGACAAGTCACACGTATTCAGTGACGATAGAGTGGTCGATGGACCAAAGGATCTCAACAAAAGAAGTTTATATTTAAAGAAATTATTGTATCAATTATGGTGCAGGTGGCAGAAGGAATACCTCACTGAGCTAAGAGAACATTACCGTTACAAAGAGAGAAGAAATCAGTCAAGTGGTGCAAGGTAAGGAGATATAGTATCTATTTATCAAGGGAAGACGCCACAACAAACATGGAAGATTGGAAGAATCGTGAAGTTAATCGAAGGAAGAGATGGAAAGAACCGAGCTGCTATCGTAAAGACAACTACAAAAGAAGGAAAACAATGGGAACTGAGAAGACCACTAACGAAGTTGTACCCTATCGAAGTTCGAGCTAAGGATCTTGAAGAAAAGGAAGTCCGAAAAGAAGAACAAGCAACAGATATCACCTTCGTGGATGATAGAGAAATAGACACTGTTATTACTCGTTAAAGTTTAAGAATAAATCTATTGACTTTCGTCAGGTGGGGAGTGTGTGCGAGATCATGACGTAACAGACTATGAACTTAATTTGCATATTCGCACTTGTAAATCAAGAGATCGAGAGAGAAAGAAAGAGCGGGAAGAATAGTAAGTCGAGACGGATAGTTTGTGTTAACATGTAAAGAAAAGAATCAAGAATACAACACAGCTTAGTCGAATGCTGCTTAGTTTATTCAAGGAAACAAAGATAAAGAAAAGAATCGAAAATACAACACAGCCCTACCTTGAAACTTTAAAAAGTGGCTCAAAAAATGACTAAGTTTGGGGGATCTAAACTACACCTGGTACCTAAGATTTTGGAACAAATATTACACCAAAAGAAAGCTTGTCTATTGATTATTAAATCAGAAAAGTTTCAGCTCTGGAGTCGAAATATTTCTTCAGATCTGCAATTTGATACCTCTTGGGGTGTCAAATAAATAGAAATTTAAAAGGACGCTACCAGAGAACAAACCAGTACCTCTTAGGGTGTTTTTGAGGCAATAAGATATCGGAGATTATATGATGACAGTCAAAACGGCAGTTGTGATTATTCAGGTTTATTATTTTCGATTTATTATTTGACCTCTGTTACTTAGATCATAGAAAATTGGTACCTTTTAGGAATAAAAATCATTAGTTTCCACGCCCAACTGGACAGGAGTCAAGTACCTGTCACAGGGGCGTACCCAAGGGAGGGTTCCAGAAGTTCCGGACACCACATGACAAATAGCCATGGCCAGCGTCCGTCTTCCTGTTCAGGCTCGTTTTCGAATCCCCCTTCTGAAACTCCTGGGTACGCTTCAAAATTTCCAAAATTTGTAATGATCGAACGTGAAATTTTCAGATGGTGTCGCAAAATACTAGAACTGGTGGGTATTTTTTTCCTAATCAAAGTAAGGTTTTAGAAATCTTTATAAGAACAAATTACGTTTCTTCGATCTACCAAGCCGGAGTTTTTATATCAGGTACCGTAAGTCCTTTAAATTTTTTCTTGATTTATTATTATTTTTTTATTATTATTTTACTTTCAAACTCAAACAGAGTAAAGGCATTTAACCCGTGAAATAGAAATTATAAGTCAACGTGTAAGAGTGAAGTTAAATAGACACAAAAGAAAACAATGGAATTAGGGTCTACTAAAGTATATTAGCCCAATATCTATTTCACGGGTTTAATGACTTCACTCTCTTCACTCTTTTTAAACTAAGTTTCGTTTATAATTTTATCATTATATCATTTCACCTTGTTTATAGCACAGAGAACAGACCTGAATAACCGCTTTACAAATGTATCATGATGATGATGATGATGATGATGATGATGATGATGATTGAGTGTTTATAGCAATCTCGTAACCAGAGCCTGCGTTTCTTCTGGTCTGTGCAATGGCGAAAAAACCTTGAATAAACCGCGCGAAATAATCACTTTTCCAAAAGAATAACGCCCGCCCTCTTTTTTCTTATAAACGTGATCGTAATCTTCGTTCTTTCTTAGTCAAGTGAGTTCTTCCCTCTTACAAAGAACCTGGTACTTTTCGCTGTTCTCGTAAACGTTGTTATACTTGTCCTCACATAGCCTCTCACACTTCTGTTGTCGGTCCTAAATC